TATTTTCAATAACCTCATATGCATGTGAAAGCTGAACAGTGAATAAGGAAGACAGTAGAAGAATTGATGCCTTTGAGTTATGGTGTTGGAGGAGAATATTGAAAGTGCCATGGGCTGCCAAAAGAACAGATCAATGTTGGAAGAAGTGCAGCCAGAGCGCTCCTTGGAGGTCAGGATGGACAAACTTTGTCTCTCATACTTTGGACATATTGTCAGGAGGGATCGGTCGATGGAGAAGGATATCATGTTTGGTAAGGTGGAGGGTCAGAGAAAAAGAGGAAGACCCCAATGAGATGGATTGGCCAAGTGGCAGCATTAATGGACTCAAGCGTGGCAACAATAGTGAGGTTGGCCCAGGATCGGGCAGTGTTTCATTCTGCTGTGCATGAGGTTGCTATGAGTCAGTACTGACTTGATGGCACCTAACAACAACAACAACAACTTTTATTATCTCTCTATCAATCTATCATCTATCTGTCCACAAAGGGGTTTCAGAAAGTTCATGGAACAATGAATAGAAAGATAATGGCATTATCTATTTGAAAGCCTTCTATCATTCTATCTCTATCTATCTATCTATCTATCTATCTATCTATCTATCTATCTATCTATCTATCTATCTATCTTTTACCTATCTGTATATCTACGTATTATCTATTTATATAGTCATCATCTATCTATCATCTATCTATCTATTATCTATCTGTATATCTATCTCTATCTATCATCTATCTCTAACTATCCATCTATCTATCATCTATCTATGTATGTATGTATCTATCATCTATCTGTATTCTATCATCTATCTATCTGTCTGTCTGTCTGTCTGTCTGTCTGTCTGTCTGTCTTGAGTCATCTGAATCTGCTGGTCAGTAAAGGGGGTTCTGGTGCCCACAGAGCATCCCACAGTCACATGATCTCAGGTGTCCCCTACTACTGTTAGGCGCACAGTTCTCTGTGAGCCAGTTTTCAGTGGCATATTGATCACTGCACTAGGTGGGGCTCTGGGGAGTGGAGAGGACTGGACTTTACCAGAAGCCCCACCCTTGGAATGTTGGGGAGGTGGGCAGTCTGTGTAACTGAGAGGAACCTGACACCCTTTATCATGTGTGGGGAGACAAACTAGGTGGCAAGTAGCACAAAATTTGCAAGGGTGTTTAGTTAATGTGAGCAAGTCTTCCGGTAAGATTCCCTGAAAAGAGTCATATAAAAATTTCTGGGCACAAGAAATAAATTGGCAGGCCTAGACAAGAGTCAAGGGGGGAAGATCTTGCAGCCTGGTGGTCAGGGAACTAGAAGTGATTTTTATTGTCTCCTCACCTTCCTGCTTGTTCATTTCCCCCACAATGTATATATAGGCTCTTGTCAATCAAAGAACCCAAAACAAGACTGGTACTGATCATAAGTCATGCCCTGGATGCTGGAAACTATTCACCTTCATGCAATGCTATGTTGTAAGGATCACCATACCATTTTACAGACAAGAATCAGACGCTTAAACCCTGAACTGAAGACCTTGGCCAATATCTTACATCATCGTCAAGCTAGGGTTGGAGACCAAGGCTGGCCAACTCGGACTCTGACATTGACATTCCAGTCACCTCTTTGCTTTTAGGCAAGACCTGTCCACTGGGCATCCTGTCTCCCTCCCTCCTCAACCCCCCCCCTACTGAAGATCAAACTCAAGTAGCTCCTGTATCTATGGGCTTATTATTTTAAAGGATAATAATAAAAAGAGAGATGCAATTGGTTAAGATTTGGATGAGGATTAAATCATGAAATAATTGTGGAACCTCGAAATTTATAGAAAAGCAGCCCATCTCGAGACTGGTGAAGTTACAGGCACACCATTGTATTTGGCAAAGGATCCATAGAGACAGCCAGGACATCAGGAGGAGACGGCTTTCCTGATGTTGAAGGAACTTTCAAAAACCATTTGCTTTCAGGCCTTCAATGAGCAATAAATTCCGTATCATGCTAAAACCCTGCTGACTTACTCACTTCTCTGTGAGGGCCGCCAGAGGAAAAATGACAAGCGTTTCTAGTGAAGCATGTGCCCGTGCCAACCTTGAGCTGGGTTTGACTTTTTCCCACCTCACCCCAGCTGTGGGAAATGAGGAAACAACAGCTGGCAGGTCACTCGCTCAGGGGCTCCCAGTGTGGGATGGGTAGGATGCACCCAGCCTGGAGAGATGTTCTTAGGCTCGGCTTATTTTCACCTTTCATGTACACAGATAAAACCAAACCAAGTGTCATTAAAAAAACCAAAAGTGAGAAGTCATGTGACTAAACAGTGGAAGGTGTTGGTATCACAGAAAGAAGGAAATGTTTCCATTACAGAGACACCTGGAATCACTGTCTTGACTGCAGTAGATCCACCTTCAGATACAGGGAGATCCAGCTGCCCTCCTTCCTGTCCTCTCTACTGCCTGTCAGTCCCTGGGCACGTGCTCTGCACTCCCGCCCCATTTCTTTGCACCCACTAACCTGTCTAACTGGAAATCTGCACCTATGACAATTCAGCCATACACAGGGAGACAGGAGGGGCTTTTGCCTCTGGATCATCTTAAGCTAACCTGGACATTGTGTGTATACTGCGTGGACGTGGTGGGCAGGCTGCTCCCCTTTCTGGGCCTCTGGTCTGAGTGGTAAGTTGAGGGTGGAGAGGGATGACCATGCTGTATAGCTCACAGGGGTACTGTGAGGAATTGAGTTTGTGGAGTGATTATCTGCGTCCAAATTCAAGATTCCTATACAAACACCCAGGGCAGACAACATTGCTAATCAATCGCAGCACTATGCACTGTTCTGCAGAGCCCAGACAACAGGGTTCTGCATGCCAATTAGGAGCCTGGAGATGAGTTACAAGGAGCCCCACCAGCAAGCTTGCCTGCCATCCCTGGCACTGATACACACAGACAGGAAGTCCCACACCCAATGCACACGTTTGCTCTCGTGTCATACGCTTTGATGGGCAGGGCTTGGGAAAGCCCACCTACCTTTGATCTTCAGTGGGTTGTGGTAGTGGACTTCCAGGCGGAGGTACCTGGAAGAGCCAGCCCCCCCGAAGGGCAAGCCAGCTTCCTCGGGGTAGTAAAATGCCTGCAGAGTGGAGGGAGAGGTCAGGCATGAAGGTGTCACAACCCAGCTTTGTGAGGAGAGGGTCCCCAGTGGTCAGCCCACACACGTGGAGAGTGATAACTACTCTCACTATTCACCCATCCCACCTTCACTGGACTGCTCAAATCCCCGTGGGACCAGCTCAGCCACACAGCCTGGGACCATCCTGAACCCCAAGTCCAGTGGTAGTTGCTACTCATGAGGCATTGGTACTTTTGTAAAAATGCCCCAAAGGTGGAGAAAGAACATCAGGCAAACGGGGGGTCCCTGGGCCCTTTCTGATGGGGTGCCCTTCCCAACCCTACAAGCTGAGAAGCTGAGGAAGCAGATAAGGAGGGTAGGGCTCCAGGAACCTGTGGCTGCCATACCTTTGCACCCAGGGCCCAGGCGGCCAGCACATGGCGGCAGTAGTTGAGACGGTCTGGCTTCATTTTGGAGTCGCAGGGTCCGCTGAAGTGGGGGAAGCTCTCAAACTCGGCAGCACACTGGAAGACCTCCATGTGGTGCACCAGGGCCTCGTTACCCACGGTGACAATGGGTTCGTACTGCAAAGGGGGTGCCCTCTGAGCCTGGGAACCCTACAGCCACCTACCCACCAGGGTGTCCAGTCTGGAAGCACTCCCTCCCTGGGCCTCAGTTTCCCCATCTGTGATATGAGAGATTTGGTGGGACCAGGTCTGAGGGGACGAGTCTGAGTGAAAAAAAAAAGTCTGGACAGGCCATTTCCTGACACAGCAGGGATAGGCAGATGCTGTCCTCACATGAATGGAGCAGGGGCTAGGCAAGGACAGAGAGGCCTGCAGGTCCTCCAGGGAGGCAGAGACCAGGAGTCAGAGCTGATGGTGCTGACCTGGCTGTAAGTCCTGCCCTCCACCCCCTAAAGTGTGGCTTTGGTGCTCCATGTGGACTCTCTGGATTGCACAGCCTTAACCAAGCATAGGGACAGTGATACCTGGCCCTGAGCACTAGCCATGGGATAACCCACCCCACCCTTCCCCTAGGTCCTCAGTAGCCATTGTCTTCTTTGAACCAGGTCTTTCTGAGTGAAGCTGATTTTGCATGAAAAGGGAAAGTGGTGTGACAGACAGACAACAGCCAGTCAGTCCCAGGGGCAGATGCAGAAATGAAGACATCAGCTGCTTTGGTTCAGGCTGGGTTCCCTTGGGAGTGGGGGAGAGGAGAGGACAGGCAGTAGTGTGGGAGGAAGGCCAGTGTCAAAGGCTCAGAGAACACACCCGTTCCTCAGGACCATGGACAGCACCCAGGCCTAAGTAAATTCCTGCCTGAGATGCCAGCCCAGGTGGCAAAGACCAGGATTCTATTTTCCACTGTTACAGATTAAATTTCATCACCTCCAAAATATGTAAATCCTCATTTCTGTGCCTGTGGTTAAGGCGTCCTGGTGAGTCTGAGGGATAAGCATTGGCTTGCTAACTAAAAGGTCAGCAATTCAAACTCAGCAGCCCACTCCACAAGAGAAAGATGAGACTGTCTGGTCCCGCAAAGATTTACAGTTTCACCACTGTTGTAAAAACTCAGTGAAAGGTTTTCATGCTAAAAGAAACCTTATTTGACGGTTACCAGTCATGGGAAGGAGCTCTAGTAGCATAGTGGGTATGAGTCGGACTGCTAACCTCAAGGTCAGAAGTTTGAAACTACCAGCTATTCCTAAGGAGAAAGATGAGATTTTCTGCTCCTATAAAGATTTACAGCCTTGGAAACCCTACGCAGGGTCATTATGAGTCAGAACTGACTCCATGGCACATAACCACCACTACCAGGGGTTGGGAGGAAACGGAGAGTAACTTACTGGTTAGAGAGTAGATGCATTAACTCAGGTGATGGGGACGGCAATATACAAGTAGGGGGAGGTTTGGTAGAATGATGCTGAAGACACAGGGAGGTATGACCAGGGGCTAAAGGGGATAGAGGTAAATAGTGTTGTATACACAACATTAAAATAATAGTGTTCTGCAGGTAGATACATGGACAGATACACAGACTGAATGGTATTGGAGAAAGAATGGGTGCACACCCACAAATGTATAAGGGTTTGAAAGAGGATATTTATACATGGATATTTACCTTTATGAGTGTGGTAGAGCTTATAGTTGGAAAATGATAGAAGTTTCTTAGATATTATCAAGCATCTTAAAGCAGTGAGTTGCTGCATCTAGGGTGTCAGGACCATAATCTCAGGGAACACCGTGGTCAGTTGGCATAACATAATCCACAAAGACAATGTCCTACATCCTATTTTGGTCAATGGCATCTGGGATCTTAAAAGTTCATGAGCAACCATTTAAGGTGCAACTATTGGTCTCTCCGTGTGCAGAAGAAGATGCTTGGAATCAGTTAGTCCAAAGGACAAATGGACCACGTGAACCTCTGCCCCCATAATTCTAAGACCAGAAGAACTAGATGGCACCCAGCTACCACTACCAACTGCTCTGAAAGGGATCCCATTAGAAAGTCCAGAATAGAGTGGGAGAAAAATGTGGAATGAAACTCACATCTGAAACTATGGTCTCAACCATCCTTCAGGTCTACAAAGAACTCATCCTCATGGGCCCAATTTCCATCTAAGCAGTAGATAACAACACTAGCAAGGTCTGCTTACCATGGAATGGTCACTCACTCAAAATCAAAAGGGCAACATTTACCTAAGGACAAAGTTGAGAAGGGATGGGAAGGTGGGTGGAATGGAAACAGGAACCTCAGGGCGAAAGCGGGAGAACTGTTGTTACATGGAGGGGAGTGCAATCATTGAAATGAAACAAAGTATAGGATTTGTTGAATGTAAAACTGATGATCTTGCCTGTAAACCTTTACTCAATTCACTATGAAAAGTTAAAAAAAAATGTAAGAAACTCTATATAGAATCACTATGAATTGGAATGTAGAGGCCTGGTGTGTAACAGTAGGATAAGCACTTGGCTGCTAACCACAAGGTTGGTAGTTCAAACTTGCCAATCACTCCTTGGAACCCTATCCAGGGTCGCTATGAATCAGAACTGACTCGACAGCACACAACAAGAAGAAGGAATCGGCATCTACTAGGTGGCAGTGGGTTTTATGCCTGTGGCTACAGTCTCATTGGACTGGACTGCTAACCACAAGGTTGGCAGTTCAAACACGCCAGTCACTCCTTGGAAACCCTATGCAGGGCTGTTATGAGTCAGAACTGACATGAGGACACTTAACAACAATAACACCATTCCATTTGGGGCTTTTTGTTATGCTAATGAGGAAGGAGGCTGTAGGATGTGTCTTGAGTCAATTCCTTTAAAATATTAAAGAAGTAGATTAAGCAACCAGAGATGGGGTAAGGCAGATGCCAGCATATAGAAAGACCCTTCCCTAGAGCTGATGCCCTGGATTCGCACTCTTAACCACTTAATTTGTGAGCGAATACGACTCTGTTTGCCAACACTACCCACTTGTTTATAGCAGCCTCAACCATACCATGACAATGTGGTGTTTCGAGAAGCTTGCGGGTAGCTCTGTGATGTAGCACCAGTACGTGGTCTCCTGACCAGGGATCAGGACATTGGGGGCGCGAATCTCCCTGGTGTTCAGGTCCTCGGGCAGAGAGGGCACCATGATGTTGGGCTTCAGCAGCTGCACCCTCTGTAGACCGGTCTGCAAGTCAGATGTGTTGATGGCTTCCAGAGACAGGAATGGCTGCTCCAAGATCCCATAGATGAGGTGCACTGTCCCATCCTGCAGCAGACACCCCGACTACTCAGCCAGCCACACTCCCACAATTGGAGGGGCACCCAGCCCATGCCCACTGACACCTGGCATCTCTACTCCCCTCTCGGCCAACAAGGGGCTCTATGAGGTTCAGCTTGGACAGGGCACGGTCAACTTGCAGGCTGACCATAGCAGACACCAGCAGGTATATTAAGTGCATTTTGTTGTTCTAACTACAGTCTAACTATTCACTTACCATCCACTCCACCAGGCTCTGATCCACTAGCACCACCCCACCAGCACTGGCCCATTTAATACCCCTTCTACCAGCGTCTCCTAACATCCACCCAACAACATTCCCTAACACACACACAGCAACATCCCCAACACCCACCCAACAACATCCCCTAACATCCACTCAACAACATCCCTAACACACACCAACAACATTCCCTAACACCCACCCAACAATATCCCCAACACCCACTCAACAACAACCCCAAAACCCACCCAACAACATCCCCTAACACCCACTCAACAGCATCCCCAACACCCACCCAATAACATCCCCTAACACCCACCCAACAACATCCCCAACACCCACCCAACAACATCCCCAACACCCACCCAACAACATCCCCTAACACCCACCCAACAACATCCCC